GGACAATATTGAGCACCAAAAACCTAAGCTTTGCTGCCCTTGACTCTGGATCCTCCTCAGACTCCTTGTCTACAGCAGCTAGCTTGCCCTTTTGTGGGCAATTGCGTGCTATTTGGCTCCCTCCACATAGGTAGCATGCTAGTGGTTCTCGGTCCCCCTTTTGCTTTCCACTTGCTTGCTTGTGGCTTCCTCTCGCCATCCTTGGTCGAACGATCTCGATCCCCCTCCTTAGATTCCCGATCATGGTCCTTCCCTTTGGACTGCTTCTTTCGATCCTTATTATCCCTGCCCTTACCCTTGGGTTTGGAAGACTCAAACTTGTTTAGAGGCTTAAACTCTATCAAGGACTTAGCAGTAGTTATAGCTTTAGCCAAGTCATGAACTCCCCTCTGTTATAACTCATGCTTCACCCACAGCTTCAACCCATCCATGAAAGCAAATAAGGCATCCTTTTCGCCTAGATCCGAGATCTATAGCATCAATTTAGAGAATTTTTGGACATACTCCTTTATGTCCCCTTGTTGGCTTAGCTTGCGTAACTTTGCCCGCACCTCATCATCTGCATACTCTGGGTAAAATTACTTTTTGAACTCTTTTTGGAACTCTGTCCAGGTTTCAATATTGGTGCTCCCATGCCTAACATCATCACACTTGTGCCTCCACCATAATAAGGCTACATCAGTGAGATACTTAACAGTGGTGCTTACCTTTATTGTCTCGTCCTACATGCCCATGGCCTGGAAATACTGCTCCATACCCCATAGGTAGTTGTTTACTTCCTTGGCCGCCTAGTTCCCTTGAACTCTTTAGGCTTCGGGACATCTGTCCTAGACTTAGCCACTCTAGCAAACATGCCATTCCATTGGCAGTCTTGCAAGCAACAAGCTCGCTGGCAAGCTCCTCCCATCCGCATGGCCCCCAGGCCATCGTGCAAGGTCACCACTTCAGCTTTCAAGGCCTCATTCCTTTAGGTGATCATGTCCATTGCCTTTTATTAAGAGCAGCTTGTAGCTCACCTTGGATCTCCTCCCCTATGGAGTCTAGCGATGCAATGTGAGTCTCTAACTTCCCTCAAGCTTCTCCCCCATGTCGCCCATGGTCAACCTCCACCTTCGTCAACCTATCATTTATGTAGACCATATATCTCTTGAACTAGCTTTCCCTACCTCTTCCACGCCCCTTCTCCCTAGGCCTCTGGTTGTTGGCTAGCAATGTCGCCTGGATACCATCTCCTCAATCATGATCTAACCTGTATAACACAAACACACAGAATCGAAACTTGCTCTGATACCAACTGTCATGGGCCTCTGACCTTAAGACTCAGAATCCGTGTGACCTTAGGCTTGGAATCTCCTCCTTATGCCAAAGTCAGCCTAAAACACAAGCATGCGGGCACAGGACAATGAAAGGGTTGATTACACAAGTTAAAGAGAAATAGGATAACAAGGCAGAATGCTGGAAACATGCTCTGTATTCATTGAACAGAAGTGTTTGATGGTGTACAAATGAGGGTGGAGCAGTCCTCTATTTATAGTTGAGACTCCAGCTATAATTAATGGCAATATCCCTAGAATAAAGGCTAAAATCAAGGGATTACAAAGATTACAATCAATTAGGATTCTAACTCCTGAATTCTAGGGTAAACCAATCTGCCAGAAGGCTCCTACTGAATCCTGCAAGCTTTCAAAAGATTCACTTGCATAACTCCCACCTTGAGCCCCTTTGGATGTGGAGCGAGCAGCCTGTAAGCTAGGCCTTAGCCTCAGGGTTGGCCTGCAAGCTGGGCGGGTGTTCTGGCCTTGTGTCCTAGGCCTTATTCGTAAATACCCACTAGCGCCTGGTGTGTGGGCTTTAACCTCTGGCTCGCGTGCTGGTGAGTCTGATGTGCTTGGAGCACTCGTCTAGGGTGAGACACCCACACCATGGCCCAACACGTGCCAATGGTGTATGAGGTAACCGTCCGCACTAAGGCCCAGCATGTGCTGATGGTGTTTGAGGTAACCTCTTGTACCAGAGGCCATCTTCTACCGATGGTGATCGAGACAACCACCCACACTAGGGGCCATCTTCTGCCAATGGTGGTCAAGGCAAGTGCTCGCACCAAGGGTCAGCTTGTGCTGATGATGCTCGAGGCAACCGCCTGCACGAAGGCCCAGCATGTGCCGATAGTAATCGAGGCAACCGCACACACCAGGGACCATATTCTATCGATGTTGATCAAGGCATGGCACATGTCAATGGTGGTCCAGGTAAGTGCCCATACCAATGGCCAGCTTGTGATGATGGTGGTCGAGGCATGTGCCCTCACTAAGGCCCAACATTCCAACAGTGCTCGAGACAACTACCCACACCAAAGGCCATCTTTTGTTGATGCTCATCGAGGCATGCATGTGTCGATGGTGCTCAAGGCAAGTGTCTATACCAGGGGCCAGCTTGTGCCGATGGCGATCGAGGTAAGTGCCCGTACCAAAGGGCACCTTATGCCGATGATGGTTAATGCATGTGCCATCACCATGCGCCATCATGTGCCGTTGATGGTCAAAGCCTTGGCCGAAGTTTCATTTTGAGCCACGATGCACATGCTGGGCTTGAGCATGTGCTAGTGCCACATTTTTTTTGCCCTGGGCACTATCACTGGAGCATCACTAGAGAACCTGACCGACAACATTGGGGGTTCCGACGATTAGGGGGCAAGGGGGTGTGCGCACATGATGTGCGATGGGTGCTGGTACTTGGTCCTTATATTGGCCCTCTATCCCTCAACAAACCTCAAGAACTCACACCCCCATAAAGAGCATATGAGATTTTACAGGTTTGCTACCAGTAGCCATTCAAGTGTAAAAAATGGGGACACTTTTTCAAATGGTCAAAAAATCTTCTACACTTCGAGTTTTTAGCTGACTTTGCATGCCAAAAAAAATACAAGGATCACATATACCAAATTTGGGGCCAAAATACCTTCTAAAAAAATTTTAAAAAATCTCGAACCGTAAAAAATTTTAAAAATCGTGAAAAATAGAAAATGAGTCATCTTGCCATGAAACTTCACATGAAGGCTTAGGGGACCATTTTATGAATTTACAAGCCATAAAAACAGCATTGGCATAGCAAAAATATGAAGATGTGCCTAAACCCACCTACCATCTGATCATGGCACGCATGGTGCTCGGCCCGAGCTTAGGACACCCGCGTGTGGTGTGCGGGCACTAGGGAGTGCTCACGTGACTTCACTAGCCATAAAAATGGTATTGGCATGATAAAAATATAAAGATGTTCCTAAACCCACCTACCACCCGATCGTGGCGCATATTGGTGTTTGGCTCGGGCTCAGGACACCCGCGCGTGGTGCATGGGCGTTGGGGAGGGCTCATATGAATTCATGGGCCACAAAAATTGTTTGGCATATAGAGTTCATTCCCAGTCTAAGCTTCAACCAGATCGAGGGTTATGGTAGCAGGACCTGCAATAGGATCCGCAACACGTAGAGGGGAACCTGACCGATCCTCAGCTTGTGCATCCTGCCTCTTTAGCTGGTGTAGTGCCTGCCCGCTTGTTTCGTAGGTTGACTTAGGCATATGGAGTCCATTCCTAGTCTAAGATCAGATCGAATTGAGGGTTGTGGTAGCAGGACCCACAGTAGGATCGACAGCACGCAGAGGGGGACTAGGTCGATCCTCGGCTTGTGCATCCTACCTCTTTGGTCGGCTCAGTGCCCGCATGCTCATTTCGTAGGTTAACTTAGGCATACAGAGTTCATTCCCAGTCAAAGCTCAGACCCAACTGAGGGTTGGGGCAGTAAGACTTGCAGCAGGATCGACAGCACGCAGAAGGGGACCGGATCAATCGTCGGCTTCGCGTCCTACCTCTTTAGCCAGCTCAATACCCGTATTCTTATTTCGTGGGTTGACTTAGGCATATGGTGTTCATTCCCAGTCTAAGCCCTAGCTGGATCGAGGTACCCACAGTAGGATTGGTAGCACGCAAAGGGGGATGGGGCTGAACCTTGGCTTGCGTATTTTGCCTCTCTTGTTGGCTCAGCGCCCGTACACTTGTTTCATGGGTTGACTTAGGCATACGAAGTTCATTGCCAGTCTAAAGCCCAACTCGGATCGAGGGACCTGCAGCAAGATTTGCAGCACACCAAGAAGGACCGGATCGATCCCTAGCTTATGCATTCTGGCTCTCCAACTGGCTCAGTACCTGTACGCTTGTTTCATGGGTTGACTTAGGCATACGTAGTGCATTCCAAGTCTTGACCACCAAGGGCCATATGCTATCAATGACGTTTAGGGCAGCAACCAAGGGGGACTTGAAGCGGGGATCCTTGCTGGTGATCCTGCCCCCGTGGTTGGTTTAGTGCCCCGCACGCTCATTTCATGGGCCTACTGAGGCGAGCGGAGTTCGTTCCCGATCGAGACCAAGGGGACGGAGGGCCCTGGGTCATGCCCAACCCTGGAAAGAGGGCGGCGTGAAAAGAAAGAAGTCGATGGGGGAAGGAGAGGGAAGGATGAATCAAAGCGACAAAGGGTGAATCTTAGTGGATCGTGCCAGTAAGGCACTCTATCATTTACAATACCCGTCACATATTTAAATCATCTGCAAAGGATTCTACCAACATTTAGTGGGAATTAAGCTCTAAAGAGTCACACACTGCTCGTCCTCTGTGGGGGCAGCACTATAGCAACGTGCCCTTGGGGGCCATGGACCCCTACTGCAGGTAGGCAATTGGGTGGCGGGCGCATGCATCACTTCTTGCTTTGGATTCTAACTTTGAGGCATTCAATCACAATCTAGCGCATGGTAGCTTTACGCCATTGGCTTTTCAACCAAGTGCGATGACTAATTGTGCGAATCAACGATTCCTCTTGTACTAGGTTGAATTACTATCGCGATGCCACCATCAGTAGGGTAAAACTAACTTGTCTCATGATGATCTAAACCTAGCTCACGTTCCCTATTGGTGGGTGAACAATCCAACACTTGGTGAATTCTACTTCACAATGATAGGAAGAACCAACATCGAAGGATTAAAAAGCAACGTCACTTTGAATGCTTGGCTGCCACAAGCTAATTATCCCTGTGGTAAATTTTTTGACACCTCTAGCTTCAAATTTAGAAGGTTTAAAGGATTGATAGGCCACGGTTTCATGGTTCGTATTCATACTAAAAATTAGAATCAAACAAACTTTTACCCTTTTGTTGCACACAAGATTTCTATTCTCGTTGAGCTTATCTTAGGACACCTACATTATCTTTTAACAGATGTGCCACCCCCAGCCAAACTCCCCACCTGACAATGTTTTTCACCCTGATCAATCAGTCGAGGCCGACCTTGGGTCCAAAAGAAAGGGTCGTGCCCTATGTCCGATTCATGGAATAAGTGGAAATAACATTAAAAGTAGTGGTATTTCAAATTTCGCCTGGAGGCTCCCATTTATCTTACACCTCTCAAATCATTTCACAAAGTCGGACTAGAGTCGAGCTCAACAGGGTCTTCTTTCCCCACTGATTCTGTCAAGCTCGTTCCTTTGGCTGTGGTTTTGCTAGATAGTAGACAGGAATAGTGGAAATCTCATTAATCCATTCATGTGCATCACTAATTAGATGATGAGGCATTTGGCTACCTTAAAAGAGTCATAGTTACTCCCGTCGTTTACTCGCGCTTGGTTAAATTTCTTCACTTTGACATTCAAAGCACTGGGTAAAAAATCACATTGCGTGAGCATCTGTAGGGACCATCACAATGTTTTGTTTTTAATTAAATAGTCAGATTCCCCTTGTCTATACTAGTTCTAAGTCGACTGTTCATCGCTCGGGGAAGGCCTTTGAGGGAACCGTTCCCAGTCCATCCCCGATCATCACGCGAGGACTTCCTATCGCTACGAGAGCAACTCGAGTAGTGCATCGACAACTGACGGGCTTGAGACTGGGACCCCCGTGCCCAGCCCTCAGAACAAATCATTTTCTCGAGGTTACGAATCCATTTTGTTGACTTTCTTGCTTACATTGTTCCATCAACCATAGGCTGTTCACTTTGGAGACCTGATAAGGTTATGAGTATGATCGGGCACGGACGGCACTTGATCCTCTAGATTTTCAAGGGTCGTCGGGGGTGCACCGAACACGATACGATGTGTGGTGCTCTTCGATCGTTGGACCCTACCTCTGGCTGAATCGTTTCCATGGTAGGCAGACCGTTAAACAGAAAAGATAACTCTTCTCGAGGCCCCCGTCGACGTTTCTGGACTCCCTAACGTTGCCATCAATCATCGCATCCTGGTTCAAGAATTTTAACCCGATTCCTTTTGAAGCTCACGTAGGATGCACTGTCGGACCGGGCTTCCCCCCATCTCTTAGGATCGACTAACCCATGTGCAAGTGCAGTTCACTTGGAACCTTTCCCCTCTTCATCCTTCAAAGTTCTCATTTGAATATTTGCTACTACCCACCAGATTTGTATCAACGGTCACTCCACCCGAGCTCACGTCCCTGATTTTACAATGATCGCCATGCCTCCTACTCATTAGGGCCTGGTTCTTACCCTGACGGTTCAATATAGGTCACGCGCTTATTCACACATCTATTTTTAGGGTTAGTTGATTCGACAAGTGAGTTGTTACAACACTCTTTAACAGATTTCAACTTCCATGACCACTGTCCTACTATCTCAAATCGATCAACATCTTTGTGGGTTTCTGGGTTAGTGCACAGTTAGGCACTGTAACCCGGCTTCCAGTTCATCTTGCATCACCAGTTCTACTTACCAAAAATGCCCATTTAGAGCTCTCGATTTTATGGCACGGCTCAACGAAACAGCTATGCCATCTTACCTATTTAAAGTTTGACAATAGGTCGAGGGCGTTGCACCCCCAATGCCTCTAATCATTGGCTTTACCTAATAGAACTCGCTGGGGGCTTCAACTATGCTGAGGGAAACTTCAGAGGGAACCAGTTACTGGATGATTCGATTAGTCTTTCACCCCTATACCCAAGTCAGACGAACAATTTGCACGTCACTATCGCTGCGGGCCTCCATCAGAGTTTCCTCTAGCTTCAACCCTACTCAGGCATAGTTCACCATCTTTTGGGTCCCGACGGGCCATGCTCGCACTCGAACCCTTCTTAGAAGATCAAGGTCAGTGGATGGTGCACCCGTCAGGGATTCCTTCAATCAGCTTCCTTGTGCCTTACAGGTTTCTTGGCCCGTTGACTCGCACGCATGTCAGACTTCTTGGTCCGTGTTTCAAGACAGGCTGGATCGGGAGCCACAGGTCGATACCGGAGCACGCCAATGATGTGGCACGTCAAGATGACACGTACTGCATTCCATGATCATAGTGATGATGTCTTCGTGGGCACATCCAAAGCCCGAGCTTGGGTCACCGTCGTGACCCGCGTCGATCCATGCCCCGAGCCGATCGATAGACCGGCTCTTATCGTTTCACATCCGATCGGGGTGCATCGTCGGCCCCCATCCGTTTCCCTCTCGACAATTTCAAGTACTCTTTGACTCTCTTTTCAAAGTCCTTTCCATCTTCCCCTCGCAGTACTTGTTCACTATAGGTCTCTCACCCGTATTCAGCCTTGGACAGAATTTATCGCACGATTGGGGCTATATTCCCAAACAAGTCGACTCGTGGATAGTGCCTCATGGTGCGACAGGATCTGGACACAACAGGGCTCTCACCCTCTCTGACACCCCTTACTAGGGGGTTCTTACCCTCTCTGCACTGAAGACGCTTCTCTAGACTACAATTCGGATGCCAAGAGTGCCCAATTCTCAAGCTAGGCTCTTCCTGATTCACTCGCCATTGCAAGCGGAATCCTGTTAAGTTTCTTTTCCTCTGCTTATTGATATGCTTAAACTCAATTAGTGATCCCGCCTAACCTAAGGTCTCGACGCAAGCATCGATCGAGCAATACGGGGGGTCCAACGGGGTCCAAGTAGACAATGAGCGCGCGTCACCGAGGTTGAGGCATGTTGGGAGCTTTACCATCGACGGTCACGATGCTATCATTACTGGGGACTCACTTTGGGCCAACCGTGATTGACGGGATCACGGGAGGTCATCTTTCGCCCGCCCCCATCCTCGAGAGCCCGATGGGTTGGGGGTCGAAGGGGGGGTGACGGTGCATGACACCCATGTAGACGTGCCCTCGGACTAATGGCTTGGGGCGTAACTTATGTTCAAAGACTCGATGGTTCACGAGATTCTGCAATTCACACCAAGTCTAGCATTTCGCTACGTTCTTCATCGATGCGAGAGCTGAGATATCCATTACCGAGAGTCATTTCATTTTTTGGTGACAAAAAGAGTTGTGACGCTGTCCGTGCACGCACCGCGAATGGGATGGCGATGGCGCGTGTGTTTTGTTTTTGTTTTGGTTCCTTGGCGCGATTCACCCTGAGGGTTCATTGTTTGGCAGCGAGCGAGACAACATTGATCATTTCACTAGTGCGGTAGGGGGCACGAAGTGATTGTTGCACCTGCCCGAGATCGGAAGGAGCTCGAGGCACGGGGGCACCCTCACCCCCTCGATGTTTCGTTAACGCATCCGCAGGTCATCCATCAAATGGGGTTTCGATAATGAACCTTCCACAGGTTCACCTAGAAAAACCTTGTTATGACTTCTCCTTCTTCTAAATGTTAAGGTTCAGTGGACTTCTCGTGACGTCGTGGGTGGTGAACCGTCTAGCTCACCGAAATTTGAACACTTCACCAGACCATTCAATTGGTAAGAGTGACGGGTGGTGTGTACAAAGGGCAGGGACATAGTCAACGCGAGCTGATGACTCGCGTTTACTAGGAATTCTTCGTTGAAGACTAATAATTGTAATGATCTATCCCCATTATGATGAAATTTCAAAGATTACCCGGGCCTGTCAGCCAAGGCTATAGACTCATTGAATACATCAATGTAGCGCACGTGCAGCCCAAAACATCTAAGGGCATCACAGACCTATTATTGTCTCAAACTTCCTTGGCCTAAGCGACCATAGTCCCTCTAAAAAGCTAGCCACGAAGGATCACCTCCGTATATCTAGTTAGCATGCTGAGGTCTCATTCGTTAATGGAATTAACCAGACAAATTGTTCTACCAACTAAGAACGGCCATGCACCACCACCCATAGAATCAAGAAAGAGCTCTCAGTCTGTCAATCCTTACTATGTCTGGACCTGGTAAGTTTCCCCATGTTAAGCAAATTAGGCCACAAGCTCCACTCCTGGCGATGCCCTTCTGTCAATTCCTTTAAGTTTCAGCCTTGAGGCCATACTCCCCCTGGAACCCAAAGACTTTGATTTCTTATAAGGTGCCGACAGAGTCCTAAAAGTAACATCCATCGATCCTTGGTCGGCATCAATTTATGGTTGAGACTAAGACGGTATCTAATCATCTTCGAGCCCTAAACTTTCATCTTGATTAATGAAAACATCCTTGGCAAATGATTTTGCAGTTGTTCTTCTTTCATAAATCCAAGAATTTCACCTTTGACTATGAAATATGAATGCCCCCTACTATCCCTGTTAATCATTACTCTGATCCTGAAGGCCAACACAATAGGATCGAAATCCTATGATGTTATCCCATGCTAATGTATACAAGCGTAGGCCTGCTTTGAGCACTCTAATTTCTTCAAAGTAACAGTGCCAGAAGAATGTCCCAGGTAATTAAGTCCAAGAATGCATCATCGGTAATAGGGATGAGTAGACTGGTGCTCATCGTGAGGTAGACCGGATGACCCAACCCTAGTTTCAACTAACTAGCTTTTTAACTGCAACAACTTAAATATACACTATTGGAGCTGGAATTACTGTAGCTGCTGGCACCAGACTTGCCCTCCAATCGATCCGCATTAAGAGATTTATTGAGCCCGATATTGTTATTTATTGTCACTACCTTCTTGTGTCAGGATTGGGTAATTTGCGCATTTGCTGCCTTCTTTGGATGTGGTAGCCATTTCTTAGGCTCCATCTCCAGAATCGAACCCTAATTCTCCATCACCCATCACCACCATAGTAGGCCACTATCCTACCATCGAAAGTTGATAGGGTAGAATTTTGAATGATGCATAGCCGGCACAAAGGCCCCTGCGATCCATCTAGTTATCATGAATCATTAGAGCAATAGGCATAGCTCGTGTTGACCTTTTATCTAATAAATGCATCCCTTTCAGAAGTCGGGGTTTGTTGCATGTATTAGCTCTAGAATTACTACGATTATCTGAGTAGTAGATACATCAAACAAACTATAACTGATTTAATGAGCCATTTGCAGTTTCACATGTAATGGCTTAGTCTTTGAGACAAACATATGACTGTTGGTAGGATCAACCAGGTAGCATTCCTTCAGGACATTGGCACCGCGTGGGCCTCGACACATCACCGACTGAATATGGAGAGAGACCAACGTGGAGCGCAAGCGTCGTGCATGTCGAGCATGTGAAATGCATAGCATCGTACGAACGGGGGCCG